GAACAAAAGACATTTTTCAGTAAAAATGGAAGAAATGTAATAAATACAGTTATTGATGAGTTTAAAATCAAATTATGGTCTATTACATGCTCTTAACATTTTGCCCAAAGCTACCTCCTCAGGTTGCTGACTCTTCAGAAAAAAAATCATACATCTTCCATATTCATGAAGCAATATCTGCTCTGTGAAATTGATGTAAAACACAATAACAATTCAAACCTTTTAAAGAATTGATTCACAGCCATTAACCTTCACAGTGAATGAATAACTCACTCACACAACAGAAGCACGGAGATAAGTTTGGTGCGAAAGGAAAGACTTTGCTCCTCTTCTTTGTGTATAGTTCAACTTTTGTTGAGTCATTGCTGATAACCACGCTGAGGACTCACACATTTCCTGTTACAATACAGTTGGGTTGATAGTAAATGGCCTCATCTGGTTCCTGTTTTGAATTCCCACTCAGGGCCTCTGTGTGGAGTTTGCATGGTCTCCCCGGTGCATGCGTAGGGAGGAAAGATCCCTTCCTGGGTGCCTGGGCATCCTCCCACTGTCTAAAAACTTACATTTTTTGGTTTATTGGTGATTGTAAATTTGCCTCAGGAGTGAGCATGCATGGCTGTCTCTTAAGTCTATTGACCCTGCCTCCCAGCCCGAGGTGCCAGGGATAGGCTCCAGCACCCTTGACCTTTAACTACATCAAGTGAGTTTAGAAGCGAATGAGTGAGACTCTGGCTCCTAATGCATTCTCAGTTTAAGGGAATTAGGAAGGGGGGACTGCTTCTTATGTCCCTCTTAACTAATAAACTGTCCTTAAGGGAAGTCCCTGTATGGCCTGTTTACTGCATGTTTTTATGCTTATTTTGTCGGAATGTGTTGGATTTAATCAAATGCATTGAAATGATGTATTGACACAGTATTTGCTTATTTCTTGAACAATATTAAAAGTATTTAAAATGAAAACATAAACACTTTAACTCATTCGCTGCCAAAGACGTCTATAGACGTCTTTTATGTTTTTCAATGCGAGTGACTTGGGGGACGATCGGCGAAAGTTTTTCCGTAAATATGGGCTTCTAGACAGAGTATGGACTAACAAATTTACCCTCTAGGTAGCTGTGCCACTTTTGATGGGAGATTAGCATAGATTGTAAGCAAATAAAAACAAACGCAATAGTTCGCTATGAGAGAAATGGCGCCGGTGAGACGCACGTCGAAGAAGAACAGAATAAGGTAGAAACAAAAATTTTTTTCCTGATGATAGAAGAGAGTCTCCTCTTTCTTTTGGTGTGTTTGGTGTTTACATAGTCAAAGCACAAACTATTCTGTGGCTCTTGAAAAATCTGTCAAAATTCTCAAAAAACTCTGGCAGTGAGCGACTCTCTGTTCTGAAAATGGCTGGCAGTCAATGAGTTTAACACAATCCAGGTATGAAATGCATTAAATTAAAAAAGTTCAACAACCTTAATGCCACAACAGAGTGATTACAAGAAGACCAAAAATACTATTGCCTGAGTACCCAGTCAGATGTGTAGAAAACCATTTTGAGAAGTCTTTAAACCCCTCATACTGATGCTGCACCTTCAAGTGTGTCTAATACGACTCATCACCCTCAGGGTTTTTGCCAATCAGCAATCAGCAGCAGAGACGCAACACAATCACTAAACCAGGTGTCCCAGATGCAGCTAGTGTGGCAGAAAAAGAACGTGTGGGATTTAAAACAAGGCCCAATAAATAAAAAAGAAGATATGGTACAGCAGGCTCAGTATGACAAGTAATGCTGCACATACATAATCTAAACTTTCTACAGGAAGTTGGTGGTTAACCACACACTCACTGTTTAAAGTTGTGTGTGTGATCATTTCTGTCTTGAGCATTTTGATAAGAAACACAAGTCATTCATTTTAATCTTTGTATTTGGATCATAGAGTATGGACTATGCTGAACACAGCCAAACTAATATTATCAATAATAGTAATAATGATAAAATTATTGATGATGATGATACACCATGTAATCACGCGACACACAGAAGACTAATTTTCATTTAGATTCTGAACCTGAAGTGTAAATGCTTTTCCAACAGTCTTTGTTCACTTAAAGTTCATAAATAAGTTGAATTCCTATAGTAAACGTTTTTAAAGCATTCATTTTTAAGACTGACTCCAAATATATTTTTGTTCAAATTAATTTTTCAGTTTCAGCTGTCATTGACATATTATGGTTTATCGTAGTAACTGAATGATTATGAAATTCCTTTTTATTCAAAAGAATTAAAAAAATAATTGTATTTGAACAGATTGATGAAGGCTCCTCAGCCGATGTGAGTCTGAAAGAAATTCAGGAAAAAAAACTTTTTTTAAAGAAGTATATGCAAAATTTTTAGATTTAAAATCTAAAATAGTATTACAGCCCTTTAAAGTGTTATCTTCTGTTCAAAACTTTCAACATATATTGAGAATCACAGCCTGTGAGCCATGCCCCACCTGGAGAGGTAGAATTTATGTTTCCACACAGCTATCATGACACAAGACGTCTCTCCAAATAACCAGTGTCAAACTCACTAGCATCATCGGCTTCTCTCTGCCATTCTCCATGGTAATTTTCCTACTTGGACAGAGTCACACTAATTCAGTCATGTAATGAACAAAGTATGCGACTAAAACTAATTTCCCCTATCACATCAGACATCGGCCAAACTCCAAACAGTCTCATGCAAGCTGAAAGTAATAGAATTAAGTTTTGTCTCACAGACAAACAAGTCGACCTTTAGACAGTGTAACTTAATGATAAAGTAACACTCTAATGTCAGTTTGAGTGAACCCAAACACGTAAAGATTAAAGTCTATGAGATTTAGGCAAATCTGATTAGTTGTGTAACACGCACACAAAATCGAAACCATAAGAAACTGCCACATCCTAGACATTAAAGGTTAATTTCACAACTTGTTGAATAGAAAGATCTCTTTCAAGATGTGTAGTTTTGCTCAGAGTGCTTATTTACTCTAAACTGTGATGCCCATGATCAAGTTTGAACCGCCTGATCTCTTGATATCAACATGTTTTGTCACCTCTACCTGCAAAAGTCTCACAAATGCAACGTATTGGTATTTGAGCGATAAATGTAGTTATGATTTGTTTGTTTTTTCCCCAAGTTGAATCTATTTTTGAGTATATAGTGTGAATGTCCGAAAATGTTACCATAGTTAAGGGATGGTGTCGAGGATAAAATGACTTATTCGAACACACTGAAAAGGCTGCAATGTACACAAAAAAAGAAGCGAAAATGTGAAAAAATGTCTTTCATTCTGAGACTTTGCTTGATGGAAATCTTCTGCAATCTCAGCATGCAACAAAAGGACTGAGTCAGCCTCTTCTTGCTCAGTTGTACGCAGCCCCAACTTGAAGGCAATGGTTCATGCTATACTGGAATCTCTCTAATCCGCTCTTTGAAAGGCTTGTTGATGGAGACTTGAAACATGCCCATGTGTCCTTTGTTCATGTAGACAGATGCAACCAGTTATCACATCCAAAGCGTTAGCAACTTGTGTTGCTCGTGAGAGAAACTGCTTGTGAAAGTGGTGAAAATGGCGTTTTGACAATATGGTCACATTTTGTCAAAAGAATGTTTTTTATATGGCTTTTGTAAACAGGACAATCAACAAAATTGCACCCATGAAATGGCGGTTACATTGTAAAAGCAAATGTTTTAGACTTAACCATGACTGCTGTGATAATGTGCTGTTTACAGAAGTTATGCTGGCTGTGATCTCACCTTGCACGAAGGCTCGTGAAAATTCTTTGCTTTGGGATTTCTAGAGAACCCTCCCAGTTCTGTGACAAAAAAGTTTAGAACTTCTCATCTGTGGAAACACTCGTGAGTTGTATTTGAACTCATTGTTACTTAGTGCTTTACGGGACACTGTTATGTGCCTTGTTGAGGAAACCAACAACCAAGAAACTCTTAGGATCATTTAATCAGGATCACTCCTTTTTAGAAATGTGGATTTTGCACAAAAGTTCCAAATATAGTGATGTGGTGTGTACATCTTGTTTATACTGTGCACTCATTCTACAAACAAAATGTCAAATGACCTCATAAGTCATTGCCTTTTTTCATCTGATGGCAAATCTGTTTAGATTTATCATGGGGTCTCTTGAGGCCCCTTCGTGTCTGTGTAGCTCACAAATAATGATGCAAAGGTGCTTAAGGTACACAAAAGGACACTGAATACCATGTATAACATGCAAGAAAAAATATTGTTGTATCTCGACTCATTCAAAAGAGATAATTATTTATACGCATTTTGAGAAAAACTGTAAAATAAACCTAGTATATTTTTTGGGATGTCTACTCATGCTATATTTAGACCCCAAATATAGGTCACACATGTTAGCCATAGTTGAAATAAGTTAACCTAACTTTTCAGGCTGTAAGAACACAGCAAAAGAAAGAGTCACTTTGGGGGGTTAATTGGATTTGGAGTAACAATGAGTGTCTTTTCAAGGAAACAAACAATACGTCTTTCAGATAAATACGCACTTATCATTTCTGCCACTACGACTTACAGCACATAATTGAGTTAATCACAGAGTGCATGTAGCATATGACACAGTATCTGCCTCTGACCCTTTCGGCTAACCATCAACTCGCTGCCTGTCCACTTCTTTTAATAAATTCAAAGATGACTGCATGTTAGCTGACCCCCACAGCAAAAGTGCCATGGAGCAACTCCAGATGTGAACATCCTCCCATATTTTCTCTCCCCCTCTCTGTCTCCCACACTCAAGTCTCTCCCGCTTCCACCACCACCCTCCCCCATGCAGCTACGAGTTTTCCATCTCCTTTTTTGGTGAAAAAATTTGAAATGGAGGCAAGGAGGAGGACATTTAACCAACACCGGCAGGAGAGTCTATCTGGTGGTTTGCGTATGCGTGCTTCATCAAGGCAATGAAACAGTCGACTCAGCATAAACAAGAGAATATGCATACCCATTCAGGGACTTACTCCTAGATATATCCACTTTCATTTTATTGTTTGCCCTTAACACACACTCAAATAACCAACACATGGAGAGACGCGTTCACTTTAAACTCTTGTTACACATGCACACTTTCTCTCACCCTTTCTCACACACTTCCATGTTCTTTTTCTGTGGAGTTACACATAAACGCACACAGTCATTTCCCCTCAAGACATCTTAAACATCCTAAAGGATTGTTCTTTGGCCTACATCATTAACACCAGAGGACAGTAAACCACGGTACTAGATGTTTAACTCAAGGACTATAAAAGGTTCTCAGCAAAGATCAGTGACAATTTATTTAATGAGGCCTCAGAATAAAAAATAACAATTCAGCCACACCAGTCATCTGATTTACAGTAAATTCATATGGTTATCTTAACTGTGTATATTCCATCTTAAATGTATATCTGCCAACTCTGACTCACCAGCATCAAAGCTCTGATTTTTTAATCATCATAAGTATTTTCAATATCATTTTGTGAACATACACGACAACAAAAGACACAACATGAACAAAATTAACAAAAACAAATGGCAAATCAGGGCAGGTGAAAACATGCTTATTTTTGCAATAAACAACAATAATGTATTTATTGCAGCTTCTTCCGGGTTATTAACTCTGGCTCTTTGTGCACTGATGATAAAGATAGACAACAGTTAGGAAATAAAGAATAAGACTAAACTTTAGGAAAAGTGTCATTGCAAAGTTCAAAAGAGTCCAATACATGTAAAAAAAACAAAAAAACAAAGTGGTCTGCATCTTGTGCCATGTTTTTGTTTGTATGTGCACAATACATGTTAGAACAAAATATCTTTCTAAAAGTGCAAATTAACTGTACTGACAACCAAAAAACTAATAGCAGTAAGTCTGAGTTTCTTCTCAATTTCGGTTTTACAGTTTAATTTATGAGAGTCAATCTAAATTCTGACATTTTTTCACAAAGGCATCCCACCTCCTTCTATATCATATAATTTCATACAGTAACTTGTCCAAGAAGCATTGAATAAGACAGGTTATAGAAAGATAATTGACATCTTATGAAAAGCAACATTCAAAATGCATAAAACTGCAGTTGTAAGAGCATTAAAACAGTAACTCCACCATACATATAAAATACGCCCTGTTTATATACTATACTGTATCAGTGTTCTTTGTCTTCTCCTCAGAGCCTGACTTTTACCTGAATTGACATTTTACTTGTATGTTAAAATGAAAAAAGAAAAGAAAAAATCTTTGGCAAAGGAACAAGCATTTTGAGTTTCTTTATGTACAAAACGCAGTACATACAAATCATGTTGTTAATAAAGCACTCCACCAATGATATCATTGACTGTCAAGTTAAGGAGAAAATCTTTGTGGCTACTCCTGCAAACTGCGCAGCATCAACATGATTTTGTGCATTACTGTAGTTTCTGGATGAAACAAGACCACTGAGGAGCTGATGCCTTTAAGTGAAAATGATCTGAGGCAGTGTTTGTTAGCTGCCTTTGGTAATGACACTGGGCTCTTAAAAAAGCCATTTCAAAGTGTGAGTGGAACGAAGGCTGAGATTCAGGCTCGTTGGTGCTCTATAAGCTGTTGTGGCAGTCACGGCACAGGATCCTCTCACCATCGGGGAAAAAGCCGGCGCCCACGAGGGACACCGAGCACTGGGAGCAGGTGAAACATGGCTGATGCCACTGGCGCTCCTCAAATGAGATGTACTTTCCACCTCCAAAACCTGGAACAGAGCATGTTTAGTTTGTGGGTGTGGTGGCTGACTTTGAATTTCTTGCAAATGTTTCAAGAGGGAACCTACAACCTGAATCAATCAGTGAATCTTGCTGGGTTACATAACCACCATATCATAGTATTTTAAACATGTTTTAAACAGTTGTTCTTTGCATCATATTGGTAAATAGGGCATTTTGGGACAATTAGAGCTGTAATCACGAAATGGTTAAAAAATTATATCTTGCACGTATAGAATAAATAAATAATTTATCGTTTAGGTACCATTTTATCTGTGATGTTAATTTTTACAATGTCTGTGGATGTATTTAATTTAAGAAGCTTTCTTCTTCTTGTTTGTCTTTAGTCTACATTACAGAGCATGATGTTTTTGATGATGATGATTTTTTCTGTGTGCTACAAATCATGTAAATACTAATCAGACTAAAATACCCCATCCAAAGAGTGAGGAGCTACACTCCTTTGTCCCGTGGCAGGTGGAACAAAGTCTATTCCTTTCTCCACTATATATCTGACATTTTAATCACTAAAGTAAACGGTAAGGTCTGATTGGGATCTACATGACCTCCTCCTGAAACCTGCAGAAATAACACAGGCACTGAAAGGGATGAGACGGCTGAGGTCCGAAGAGCAGAAATGTAAACAAAAATGTCCATTTCTGCAGAGTTGGTTTCAATAATATTGTCACTCTCTAATAACAATTTGAGCCTGTTAGTTGCTGCTTCTGGCTGACTTGTGAATACTAGACAGTGGCTGTTTAACAGATGGCCAACGCGCTCTGGATCAATTTAAGCACAAATGGAAACTTCATATCCTGTTTAATTCACAATGATTTTCATGGCCTCAAAGACAAAGTAGCACACATTCACAAATCATCTTAACAGTATTGTATACAATGAAGTCATCTTGCCTGTGATTGGTTTGCTGCAGGCCTCACACTTTTTGGCGTAAAGGCTGCCAAAGCATTTAAGGCAATAAGGGCTCTCATCTCTGGAGGTGAAGTGCTGACCGGCCAGCTGTGTCTTACAGCTGGTGCACACAAAACACTCCTTATGCCATGGCTCATCCCGATAGGTCACGCCACCTTTAGCCAAAGCCTAGGAAAAAAAAAATCATCCAGTTCAATTTATTGTGTCCGGAACAGTTGGGGGCATATTTTCTAACCATAATATGACCATTTTCAAAATGTGGTTACTTGACAATATAACTGACCTTTTTACAGCGTGTGCACCGTGGGGCAAACTTCTCCTCGTAGCAGGGCACACAGTAGTGCTCATCCTTGTCAGGAATAAAGGACTTTGAGCCAATCGGCTGTTCGCAGCTATGACAAATGAAGCAGCCCTCGTGCCATGTGGAGCCGGCATACTCTAATTTCCTCGTGCCTACAGGAGAAGAGAAAAATGAAAGAGGTCAGAGAAAGGATGGTGAAAATATTACAAGTTTTATTCAGATTGTTTTGGTATTCTTTACTGTACTAGGAATAAAATGCTTAAAATGCTTTTTTTCACAAAAATGTAGATATTAATACCACAAGCCCATCACTTTTTTTCCCCAACTGCTGGAAAATGGTGGTTCTTCAAAGAAACGGGGTAATGCCATTTTCCCCTTCAGTGGCACAAACCACACCATCATCCTATATAGTCCTTGGCTGTTGATTTTATAATTCTGGTTGGTTTATTATGCAGTGATGCAGTGGTTTGTGAGGGGCTGACATTTCTGCAGATTTCTTGCATCTAACTGCTTCAGGCTGTGCGCTGTTACCTTGCCTCATCAAAACAATGCAATTACACGTAAGGACCAGTTTGCTCTGGGATAGACATCGTTAGCTTTTACTGTATTCATGTGCAATTGTCAAAACTAATAAAAACGAACGAGCTGCAATGTAAAAATAAGTTTTCTGTTAGAGGAATGAGGAGCGGCTGCACAAAGGTGTGGTTGTTTGTCTGGCTGTTTGATGGACTAGTGACCTGTCCAGGGTGTGCCCTGCATCTGCCCGCATATGACCACTGGGATAGGCTCCAGTGCGCCCTGTGACTATCTGGAATGAGTGGGTTTATAAAATATTAAATATGTGGATAGATGGAAAGATGAGGGGGATGTGCAGTTTCACAAGCATTCCAAAAGATTTAAAGAGTTTTGGTTGGGTGCCAAGAAAGCAGGATCTCCTTCCATAAAAAGGGGCTTAATTGCATCACAGTCATCAAGCACTGAATTCATCTATTAGTTTCAGTATCTCAGTCTTTAATAGCATATGCTGGTTTTACTCTCGGACATGAACTCTAAATATTTTCTGCATGTGGCATAATTTCGGTTTTAACAATACTTTTTGCTCCACTTGTCCCCTTATAAAATAGTTTTAAAATAATTCTTAATAAAGATGTCTGACTGAAATGAAGAGTAACAAAAATATAAGTGTCAAATCATTGTCCAGCAGAATACAGCAGCAGGATAGACTGCCTGGACCACAGCAGCATTGTCTGTATGTGCACGAAAATCAAACATCTGGCAGACCATTCTTGACAATGAGGAAGTTTTATCCATGTTATCGTCGCAATCTGGAAAACTAAAATAGCTCCTGGGGATTATGCTTTCATAGCATCAGTGAGAAGTTGCTTTGTCTTTTTATGAGCCACACAAAATTGAGAGCTAAATTTCCAGATATAGTGTAAAGATAAGTGTGTCTGTGGGAGTATGTTTGTGCTTTCAAGGGACTCACTGACGTTTATAAATTCTGTGTTATTAGAATGTCAGTTTTGTTGATTAATCATGGATCAGAAGCCTAAGTTTTTCTCCATACTAAACAATATATAGCCAGTGAGATTTTTCTAATATGACAACAGTTTTTGTATTCACACAAGAAAAATAAGCTATAAACTCAACCTCACATGTTGGATTATCATGAGTGTTCTAAAAATAAAAAGTCAGATCTTGCACTCTTCTTGGAATCATTATGGAGGTTGTTGGAGCTCCTGCAGGGGTGCTGGATAACCGAATTGCTTATCTTTTGCTCTCATCAACTCTGCTGGCAGACTGCCAGCTTTGGGGATTCAGTTTACAGACAACAAATCAAGCAGAAGGGTAATTACTCTGTCACATTCGCCCCTGGCTGCAGTTCAGCTGAAGACCCTCAATTTAACTTTTTTTCTTAAACTTTTCCTGTCTGGCTTTCGCTTACCTCATTTCCATCTGTCCATCCTTCCTAGTTTTGACCACGTCAAAATTCATAGTCCATAGTCATTTGCCTTTTATAATTTTAATTTGTATACTATATGGCAATAAAACTTTAGTACAATGAGACTAAGGCTTTAAGGATGACAGGGGTGCCATTATGTATAACACCATTAGAAATACTGTGCGCAACTTACTCACAACTTTACTATTTTATTTAAATGATGGAAGTATCCCATAGTGGAAACAGTACACACAGATATTACTCTTCTCTGCTCTACATTAAGAATAAACTTTAAAAAAATTGTTTCTAAAAGGTTACTCCATAATTCTGTTTACACATGGAGGAGACATCTTGCAAATCTCAAGATCAGAGTGCCTGCTCATGAAGGCCTCGCTGCAACCTCTCTGCATTTACCTGGCATGACAATCTTGTCACAGGCTACACACTTGGAGGAGAATTCATTACAGTAGCAGTCGTTGCAGAGCAGTGCATCATCCTGGCTGGTGAACGGTTCATCTGCCAGTGAGCGGTCGCAACGGAAACAGCGGAAGCAGTGCTCGTGGTAATGCCTGTCCTCGTAGAACAGCTCCTGGCAGCGGGACAAGAAGAGTCAACAAGGACACAGAGATAAAGTCACATTAACTCCGCTGTGCTTTGTCCGCATTTCTAAACTGAACGGGACAACGTAGGACAGACAGGAAGACTAAATGGTAACATAGCCCTGTTTACAAAAGGAGTAGACAGGACTGTTGGATCTGTCGGGTCAAACTGACTTTAGCATGTCTGCATACTGAGTAACAAGTGAGTTACACAAAACACACTTATGTGCTTGTTTCTGATTTTCAATGTCTCCCAAGCATGGCAATGATTTGACAGTCTATAGGGCGCTGAGCCATGAAATCGCTGGGTTTATTTACCGTTCAACACACATAAGACTGCTGATAACTCACTGGCCTCCATATCCAAACAAACTAGCAGGCCCTGGAGCATGCCTGCCTCTGCAAATTCTAAAACAGCATTTGTTTGAAATGATGCACTTATCGTAGCGTTTTCCAATAAGGAATGACTGACTTTTAACTTGATTGTGGCAAAGAGGGAGACGTTCCCTCATCTTGCATTTTTATAGTTTTAGACAAAATAAGTCTGTTGGCTTATGTGGACTTAGAGGAAATTGCCTGTATAATTGCACGTTAAATTAGCCTTTACAGTGTTTTGTCACACAAAATATATAGCACATGGCTCATTTACTATGAATTATGCACCATTAATATGACATAACTTCTGTTTTAGCAATTCAAAGCCACATCAAAACACAATAAAAAAACGGCTAAAAGCTAATTAAAGTAGATGTTTGATGTGCTGTTTTTTAAAATAATATTTTAAACCAATGATGGGTGGTGCAGAGGGTGAAAACACGAAAAAACAAGTGGGAACATACATTTAAAATACACATTACATATACTGTATATATATATATATATATATATAGAGAGAGAGAGAGAGAGAGTATAATACATTACATTTCGTTATGTATTTTAGTGATATTTTTTATGATTGTTGCAGCTGAGAATACAAATAATCAGTATTT